GATGTGGGACTTTCAACACACCCCTCCAACGAAGCCTCGCGGACCGCACAAATGGTACTTTTGACCCAACTAAATAACAACTTTTGGCCTATGACAATAACCTGAAAGATGTTAGGCTTTGATTCCGATACCATGTTAAGGTTCCAACATAAAACCAATTGGCAATATGTGGAGTAGCCTAACATATATTTAAACCATAACAAATGACATGAGGTGTGCAATGTGAGACTTTCAAAAAAAAAAAATATATATATATATATATATATATATATATATATATATATATTAGAGAGGATTTGAGTGGTGATAAATGATCTTTGCTTTTGTTTTTACTTTTACTATCCTTTTTCTCTATGAATAATAAAAATGTGAGTGTGTATATGAGTGAAAGTAATAACTTCTTTAGATTAACTTAGTATTATTTTTCATATTTTAGAAAAATGTGACTGTGTGTATGTGAGTGAAAAAAAATTTATGAAATGATATACTCATCTTTCTTTAGATCTTATCAAATTATATTGACGTTCTCTCAAATTTTAAAATAGTCTATTAAATATCTTATGTTATTAAAAAAAATATTCATATTTTTTATTTTATTTTATTATATTTAAATTCGTATTATAATTATATGTAAATATAATAATAAGTCAACAAAAATAATCATATATTTTATATTTAAAATAATGTTTTCTCAAAACATATTTTTTATTATAAGTCAATTTATAATTGAGTGAAAATATCAAAAGTATATTTTAAATGTATAATAATTAATTATTTATTTATAAAAAACTTAAATTTTTTTAAATTAATTTTTAATTTCATATTTTTATTACATTTAATCAATGTATTATTTTTAAATAAAATAAAGAAAGTGCACATCACTTTATTAAAAATAATAAGATGTACGAGTGATTTATTTATAATATAGGAGCAAGAAGTGTGTATTTTAGATAATTTTACCATTCTCTTTTTAAAATTAATATAAAATATAAAAGATATGAATTTCTATTTTAAAACTAAAATGAATATGAGTAATATTTAATATGATATAATAAAAGATAAAAGAATTTTCATTATGTTATATTTGTGTAAAATCTATAATAATTTTTCTTAAAAATATAAATTAATTGGTTACCATTGTTTGTATGGATATAATAACATATTGGGCCATTTGAACTTCGCCAATTCCACCAAATCAAATTGGGTTTGAATTGATAAAGTTTGAATGAAACCCATCAACCTTTTCTTAACAGCAGATTTCCATGACTCCAAAATGTGATCAAAATCAACTTCAATTTAACTAGATTGATTTGATGATTTGATTTGATTGAAAACTAAGAATTATTGAAAATCATTCTAATTTAATCCAAACTAAATAACAACTAAACATAATGAGCAACAATTTTGTCATGTACAGACTAATGTACAAGTGGTTTAGACAATTATTCAACGTAACTTTTTCTTTTCAAAGCGAGACAAGACATTTTTAGAGTTTTATGTGAGTACCATGATTGTAATAATAATACATGTTCGACTATGGTTTCTTGGTAGGTGGGTTAATGCCAGAAACACGTTTGCATACAATTTCAAGTGTAATGTAATGAATTCAGCTGTCGTGTTTGGTTGCCAAGACATTCATTTTTTGTCCTTCATTCTATTTTATAACCACTTCCCCTACCTGTTCTAGGGTTAGTTGTATCAAAGGAGACAAATTGAAATATAGCATGTTTAGAGTTTGATTTCAATTCTATTGTATTTATTACGATCTAAGTGTTAATTGATATCATATATTTATATTGTGTAAAAAAATTTACAAACATAATATCAAAAGATTTGAAATTAAAGTTGTGATGATATTTTCTTAAATTATTATATCATATCACATTGGTGAATAGCTACTTAAAGATGAAATTCAAATCATAAATATTATGTATTTTACTCTTTTAGATTAAAAAAAAAAGAGAAAAAAAAGAACTTGAAACAAACAAAAAGAGAAGAAATATTGTTGTGATGAAAGGAGAAAGGTGAAATATATGAAAGGAGAAACGTGAAATATAAGAAGAGATACAAAGAAAGAAATGAAGATGATTATAAGTCATTTTAAGATTAATATAGAAAGATAGAGAGGAGACAAATTTATTATTTTATCGGGTCATAATAGAACTTATGTGTTGATTAGAGATGACTAAATGAGTTAGTTAATCCTGTTTTGATCCATCCTAATATGCTAAAAATAGGGTGGGACAGGACTTACGTTATAATCGGGAGGAACATAGATCTCCGTCACGTCCGTCTGTCAATAATTTTTTTATATAAAATTTTTTATACGTATTTTTTTTTAAATATATCTTTAATTATATGAATAATTTTTAAATTTTTTTATTAAATAATATGTTTATTAGATAAATTAAAAAATATTATATTTATGTGTCAAAATAACTAATTATATTCAATAATTTAATTTTAATTAATTAATTTTTATAATTTAAATTATAATATATTTACATATTTCAATAATATCACACAATAAAATATAATATTTTTAATTATAATTTTTTTATTTTAATTTTAATATATAATTTTTTTTAAAGTGAGTCGACGGATTAGCTCGTTTCGTCTTTGACTTGTTGAATTAGGCTGATTAGGCGGACTGAACCAAAATAGACTAAGAGCTTCACATTTTTTAGGTGAATTAACCCGTCGGATCTAACCTATTTTATTATCTCTAATATTGATCAAACGAAGTTCAATCAAAAGATGATAAATCATTATTTATTAAATGAATTAATATATGATCAATCGATCTATAAGAATTTATGATATGATATTATGTTTGTTGCTTATTCTATTATATTTTTTTGGTGGAAAGTGAATAGTTTTTTTCTTTTTCTAGGGTTAAACATGTGTTATAAGGATTGAATAATTTGCATAGAGTAAAATTGGGTAAATATATGAATTATTTTGTTGATTATTTGCATCTATTCTCAAAATAAAGAATTTTAAATTCGTAATCAAAAACTATTCTGTGTATGCTTTTTACAAAAATTAATGATATTATATAAAAATCCTTTACTGTTACATTCAAATTAAACTCTTTCTTTTGTTTGGGAACAATGATAAAAAAATTTATTGATGAATAATTTGAGAAATATAACACTTGAACCTACTGTGATTAAAATAAGAAGTTCACCACAAATCAACACGTGGCTTTTGATCAGAGAAGAAAAGGTAATGGTTCTGTTAACAAAAAGAGAAAAATGACAGGCGAAAAGAAGGAATAAATACTACATAATTAGAAAAATGCATTGCAGATTCAAAAAGCTTCCTAATTTCTGCATATGGTGAAGCATGTTGATAAGATAGACCTTTGATGTGGATAACTTCCTTATCCATCACAAAGTAACTGTCCTATGTAGGATGAAAGGTTGACAATGTTATGCCATAGCCACCAGTCATTTTAACTTGAGAAAATGTATACAAGCCCTAATATACGAACCGTGTTACCTAACATGAAAATAGTCCTTGAAAGGTGCTCCACAGGTTAGTGGTGGTCCAAAGATGTGGATGTTTGCCAAAACTAGCACTGCATAACAAACAGTAAGCCGTTTATTCTTTAGTTATTAGCCAATAACTGATTTCTAAGTTACAAGATAAGTTGACTGATATGGAGAAAGCAACTTCCCTCTTTTCAGTCTTTGCTCTTTCTTAGATGAAAAGGGGTAGTTCTTGTGTTTTATTGATATGATTATGAACTATACTCATCAAGTTTAGTATTAGATCACTTTCTTCTTAAATCAAATATTTAGTAAAATGTTTAGAAGGAAGAAAAAGGGGCAAAAAGAAGTACTGCAGGGGAATTTGTGTGGATAATTTTGTCAATGCCTTCTCTAGAAAGCTGTATCTAACAGTTCAAAAAGGAATTGTCAAAAGCTTATTATAATCTTACCTTGGTGGATGCTGTGTTTCCTCTAGTTCCCTCTTTGCCATGCCATCCATGTTTCAGCAAATATTTCAATGCAATGCATCATAAATGATGAGTATGCAACCACTCAATGCTTCTGGAATTAGCTCCTAAACCAACAGACCCAACTGTACGAAGCAGTTCTTTCAGCCACTGGCAATTGATAGATGATACTTGGACCAACCATGGCTATCATATTGTCCAAAGTTCCATGCATGTGGCACATGATCCCTTAACTCAGGCCTACATGTATATGGCCCCTCGCATAGTTTAAACTTTGAACCCCACATAGTCCTCTCTAACACATGGCAATGTCACATTTGCTTGCCCCCTGAGGGGCCCACAAACTGAAATATCATATGTGCATGATGTGGTAAACTGAATCTACCTAGCATTTCTTATAGTTTGATGTTAAATTTTGGCGAGTAGTTCACAAGCTGCAGACTATTTGTCCAACTAAGTGGGGAAATGCACTCCCAACCAGCTATTGCACTTGCATTCAAGAATTGGCTGTTTGTGGGGTCAATTTCTTGTATTTTGTCTTTAGCTCGCCAAAACTTGATAGACTCTAAAATTAGCTCCCTCAAGAACATATCTGTTACATAATTAGTCCATTCTTAATTATTAGCATTTTGTTAGTTGACGTTGATTCTGTTCACCACCCCTCATCAAGTCATGTATTTAAGTGGTTTTATGTGTTTGAAACTTTGCTCGGCCAAATAACAACATACTAGCGGTTTTTATAAAGGCAATGAAATATATATAGTCAGAGTACACTAAAGATCATTCAAACGGTAAAGTCAGTTGAGATTGAGTAATAAGTTGAGCAGCCCCTAATACTTACAACTTAAAAGGAAATCAGTTTCACAAGGGAAGAAAGTAATTTCACATATTCAGGTCAATCCCAGTACTTTACAAAAGAAATTTCTTCTTTTTTTAGAGTAAGAACAAAAAACAGAATACTGATATTCCACACTAGCTTCTTCAACCTCCAAAATTCTATCTAGTGTCATCTTCCGTGCATATGAAGCAAACTCTGCTACCTTGAGATGTCATACTCTTCGGGATAAGTGAGTTGTTGCTCCATCTGCCAGCTCAACTTGGAAGCAACACTTTCGTGACAGGGAACGTATTCCTGTGAATTTAACATAAAACATATAATTTTCTGCTTAATTCTGCAGAAGACAAAGTGCTATAAACAATTATCGTTTATGATAGAAATGTGTTTAGTGTCGGTTCGTACGTCATTCTATGAAAATTACCTCCAATTTCTTTACTAACTCTTTTGATGTTGGTGCTGACACAATAATGTGGCGGGCATTAGGACTAATAAATCCCTCTTCAACAGCTTTATCAATAAATGATAGCAACGAATTGAAGTATCCATCAACATTTACTAATCCCACCTGCAAGTTGTGAAATGTCAAATCTAATTTGGCTAAAAGCACAGGGAACCTCCAAAGAATAAATTAATTAATAATATAGTTCTCCAACAAAATGGCAAGTCAATTACCGGTTTGTCATGGATCCCAAGTTGAGCCCAAGTTATAACTTCAAGAAGCTCCTCTAGAGTCCCATAGCCACCTGCATGCAACTAACTTGCATAAGTTTTATAAATAATTTAAAGCAAAAATGTATCATAAGCTACTTATGATTGAGATGGTAATTAATACACTAGCAGAAGAAAGAGAAACTGGATTATTTTCAATAATATGAGAATCGGTTTACACTGTTTGGTTTCATTTCAACCTGGTTGTCTTTTTCTCCACATGTTTAGGATTTAAATATTCCATGTTGGGATGCATGTAACTAGTGTTTACAACTTAGTAGCCTTTGGTTTGAGTCAAAAATGCCATTATGGATGTTATAGCATTAAAGTGAGAGGTCGTTAAGGACATCTATTGGTTTTGTCCTCACACCCTCCCTCTTATTTACTCTTGGAAATTGGGGAATCCACTTTCATACGAGGCATCCCAAGAGAGAGTGATTGACAGCTTTGTCTTTGCGTGCCTCCTCTATCTTCTCTAATTTTCAGCACTCAATTACTCTCAGAATTATAACAACTAAGAAATAGAAGTCTTTGAAAAGGTTAAGGCATTATTTCATGTCAGGTACAGGTGCTAGTTGGAAACGTTATCTTGTGATAGTTCTTCTATAGCTTTACTTTCCCTTCACTATCAAATGCAGGAAGTTTGGTACAAAACACGTCATGGTTCCAAGGAAAGTAGAGGCAAAATTGGTATTCAACCAGAACCCCAGTTGCTCAGAGCCGCAGAGCTTTTGAAATTTTAGCCACAGATGTTAGGAGCAGGATCAGCTACTTCTGAAGGGTCGCTCTCTAATCATCGTAGCATGGGGATGTATGAATTATTATGAAAGAAAAGTCATAAGCCAGTTTTGCAGATGTGTCAAATTTAATTGATTAAAAATCTCACACTAGCTTATTTAACACTTCTTAAAATTACAAATTAATGTCCACTTGTGCATACTCAATGTAGATGACTAGTCCACATTATTCCGTAAGACTTCAAAATGATACATACACAAGTACATAATAGTTAATGCCTAGTCAACATCAACAACATTCATGATTTGGCGTGGTAAACCTTTCAATAATGTTCAGATAAAAAAAAAAAGTTTATCAAAGTAAAAAATCAGTTTGTTGAATGCTGAATTGAAAAAAAGCACAGGGAGTTCAATGGGAATATTATATTCAACTATTATTCTCAAAAGAACAAAACACTGAGATATGGTCAATGGTACATGATAAAACTAGAAAGCTTCAAGCACCTTGATGTTTCTACTTTTTCTAATGCAACCAAGTATTCTCTGTTCATGCTAACCTGGTAAGGCAATAAAGGCATCTGAATGCTTGGCCATCTCTGCCTTTCTTTGGTGCATATCAGCTACAGCCTTTACTTCTCCTACTGTTTCGCCAGTTAGCTGCAAAAGGAACCATTGTACAGGGGATGGAACAGATAATAAGATAAAAAAAAGTAAATAGAAAAGGAGCAGCTAAGCAATTATGAGAGTCAAAGAGTTGTTTATTCCATGCTTTACCTAGCTATGCAGAAATTAAGGAGATTGAAACTAAAACAAAAACAAAACCAAAAAAGAAAATTCTAGCCAATGAAGGAAAACCTGCACAGGGAAAAATGATGAACTAAAGATTTCACTTGCAAACGAAAAACATATAGACCAGCCTACCTAAACCTTGGCCAAAAGAAACTTTAACCAAAATTGTGATACAGTAGGCTTTTGAAATTGGCAATAAACATGTACGAACCGTCGGATAGTGAAGACTTTACTGAAAACAAAAGAAACTACAGAACTAAGAAGATATAAACTGTGGGGATGGCAATACATGAATAGAATATAATAGAACCAACGAGGAAAGAGGAGAAATAAAAGAAACGATTTAGAGGCTGTTTGATACAAATCTAGAAAGGTTTTACAGATTTCTCTACTAAAAAGTTCAAATATTTTCAGTAAAAAAACTCTTAAACACACTCTTAATTTATAAGGTTGCTCAAAGAACAAGATCTTTGATGAAGAGAAACAAGTAAAATAAAAAAGAAACAACTTGGACAAATTTATTATAGGGAAGAAAAAACTACAAGCTTTTTCAACTGGCTGTAACAGACATACCTCTCGAGGCATGAGTGTCTTGGGAATAACTCTGCAAGAGACAATAACATGACAAATAGTGTCAATGGAGAAAGAGACCAACACAAACACAATTAGCTCTGTTTTCTTGATCCTCCCCTTTCACCCAAAATCCTTGGGAGGAAATAGAGAAAGAGAAAACTTAACCAAAAACAAAAAGTGAGGAAAAGAGAGAGAGAGTGTGATACCCAATGACATGCCGACCACCATCATGAACAGCTTGGGAAACCAAACCCATTAAGCCAATGCTTCCTCCTCCATAGACCAGATCAATGTTCCTTGAAACCTTCAGAGACCATTAACAACAACATAAACAACCTAGAAAGACTAGAGTAAAAGAAGCAAATAAGAAGGTTTATGATAAATGATGTCAAAAACACCAAAGCAAAAATAACGATCCGTTTGGAAAAAGGTTAAGGCCACTGAAAATTATTATCCTCAATCAGCAGCAAACACTTGTAAAGTCCAAGCCAAGTGTTCACTCCATAGCTACTGAACTTAACAAAATGGATACTTTTATGCTCAGAAAGGTGAAAGGCGCCATAGATATCCAAGTACATGAGAAAAAAAATGGGCATGGTTTTGATTGATTGACCCGTCGGTGTGTAAGTAATGATGGAAAAGTATAAAAAAAAATTGCATAATTTACATTAAACAGAAGCTAAACACAAACTCAAGCAAGAAAAAGAAAACGAAATCGATGTGAATTTCAGCTTGCAAAAACAAGTTACAACTAACAAACATGTTATGAACACAACGAACTTACCCAACTGAAATTATCAATGGAACTAGATCATACACGACGTCATATATGACAAAGTTTAACCATTTTCACCTAATCCATTAGTTCAGCTCACGTATATTGAAATAAAAGAACATGACAAATTTTTTTATTAAACCCCCAATAAACAGAAGGGTTACTTACTTACCCTTTCATTTCACCACAAAAACAATAAACGAGCAAGATACGGGGAAGAAAAGGATAAAAGCATAATGGAAGTGTATATATACCAATTCATTGCCAAGCTCAATGGCAGCATCTTGGTAGCTTCTCTTTTTGCCAGGGCTACTCCCACAGAAGACACAAACCCTCTTGAACTTTGACACCCTTATCTCACCGTGTGTCTCCATTGGTTTGATGTAACAAGTTAGTATAGTACTACACAACCTAGTTTATGCGTAAGTAATATTTATCTATATATATTCCCACACTGTGTGTTTGTGTGACTCTTCTTAGTGCTTAGGTACTGCAATGCTTTAACGATTGAGCTAGGTGGTTGCTATTTGGTACCTTCCCTTGTTGAAGAAATCTTAATCATCCATCCATGGTGCATCCAAGTGTCATGATCAACATTAACACCTCACTCAGTGACTATTTTGCTTGCTTTGTTTGCTTCACCACCACTCTTCTTCTGATAATGGGGTTTGTATATATAGAGAACAGCAGCACTCCATTGGGCATCCTCGCACGTGAGTAGTGCCTAAGTAGCACGCGCGGACTACTGTTGTTGTGCGGTCCCAGCCTACGCCTCTTGTGTTCTGTTCTGTTCTGCCTAATCAACGTTGTCACAAAACATTCTCCCAATAACAAACAACATTACGTGTAGTGTAATCATCACGTTTTTTTTTTCTAACACACATCTACAACACCACCTCGATTCGACTTCTAAACACCCTTAATTAATTACCATCTTCCACTTTGATCGCAAAAATTATGTGGCTTCAGAAGATTAAATTTACGGTTTTTTTTTAAATTTTTATTATCTTTGGTACTTCCCTCTTTGCCCACACTACCTCTCTCTTTTTAAGTTCCATATGCACTTTTTATGTTTTGCATAGTATGTTAGATAAAGAATGTTACCTTTAGGAGACATTGATGTACCCTTTTAATGTGTATTGTAACGATTTACAATGTAAAACGTTTTAAATATAATATATTAAATTATAATATTTTAGGTAATTTATATATTTTTATAATAAAAGATCTAAAAAAATTATTGTTAAATTATATATTAAAAACAAGTGAATAAAATTATTATTATTATTAATAAAAAAATAATTAATTAGTTACTAGTTAATTAATAAAAATAATTAAAAATATTTATCTATATATATATATATTAATTAAAAAATTAAAATTTAATTAAAAAAGAGAAAAGATAAAAGCTTATCTCTTGAGAAATAAACAGAAAAAAAGGGAGAGGGAGAGGGAGAGGGAGAGAGAGTAAGGGAAAAGAGAGAAAAAGAAAAGGGGAGAAAAAATATATAAATCATTTGGATCAAATTGGGATATATTATATATAATTATTACATAAGAGAAAGAAATATTTATTATTCTATTTATTTTATTTTTAATTATGATTGTAAAATAAAATATGTTTAATTTTATTATATTTATTTTATTTATTTATTGTAGCATTGTTCTATTTTATATTTATATATCTATTGTTACAAATTAGTATTATTTTATTCATTTTTGGTCTTATTTTATATTTATCTATTTATTTATATTATTTACTCTATTTTCACTCATATATAAGTATTTTTTATTAATTTATATTTATATTATTTAATTATTTTTTATTTCATTAAAAGAATAATAATCTTGTAAATGAAAATTGGATATAAGATTTAAAATGAGTATACATCATTTAAAGAATGATTGATTAGTTTTTAATTTATTTATCCTTATTAATATTTACAAAAATCAATTCAAATCATCATGACATAAAATAAACAAACATAAAATAAACTATGTTAATAAAATTAGAAAGTAGATTTTTTATAATATATTAGGATAATATTATTTTATATATACATTTACCATTATTAATAATTACAAAAATCAATTTAAATTATCATAATATAAAATAAATGATGTTAATAAAATTAGAAAGTAGATTTTGTGTAATATATTAGGATAATATTATTATATATATATATATATATATATATATATATTTTATTGTTTATCCATGTTACAATTAAAATATAAATTTAAATAAATATATGCATTAAGTTAAAAGGCAATTATGAATGATAAATTAACCATAAAAAAATTATTATCAATTTTAATAGTTATTTCTTATATGAAAAATAATGAAAATCTCTATAATTCACGTATTTATATATATAAATATATAAATATTTATTTAAATGTATAAATATTTATCTAATATCCTAATTTTTTAATATTTAATTACAAATAATTATCTTTAAAAATATAATTAAATTAACAATTTAAAAAAAATACGTTCATGAGTTCCCTCACTCGTGTTTTTTTATATTTTTAATTATTAAAATTGACAATTTATATTTTATTTAATTGTATGTCATGAATTAAATGTTTTTTTAATTTTCTTATTAATTAATTTTAGCATATAATAAATATATTTAATCAACAGTCTCAAATTTAAATAAGAGTAAATTGTCAATTTCATATCTGGAAGTATATCTCGCAGAAAGTTTTGTTTTTGAATGAAATAAATTAAAATTCATCATAACAATAAGAAAGTTATGGACAAATTCATCAATTAACAACATTAGCCTAACCTACTACATGCATACATAATATTTTTAAATATTTAAACATGTGTCACGTAAAAAAATATTATAAGAAATAAATTGCCAGCATGGTATTAATGACATATACGAGCACAAGAAGAATAAACGTGGTTTGGAAAATATATTAGGATAAATAATAGGTTGATTACTAAAGTTGAAAAAACAAAACATTTAGAGTGAAAATATAGTATTGTGGATTAAATATTAACTTGGTTAATTTTTATATTTTTAGGGTTAGTTTTGAAGTTCCATTTATTTAAAGATAAAATTGTCAACAAGATACATTTTATGAACTAATATATCATTATTTATAATTTATCATTTATAAATAGTCCTTATTTTTAAACGAGGGAAAATACTTAATTTTTTTTAAGGATAATGACTACAAATCATACATCTCATAAATACAAAAATAAAATCAATAACAAAAACAAATTATGGTATCAATTCCAAAACCTAAGTATTTTTATAATTAAAATAAATAATTATCATAATTCTGATATTATTAAATTAAATAATTCAATATAATGATAGAATAATAGATTAATAAAAGAATCAAAATAATAAGAGCATCAATCTTGAGAAGGAAAAAAAGAAAAATGGAAGAGTAGCAATAATTCCACCATCTGAACACAAAACAAAAGTTTGATAATTGGGGCGGTGTTGAGAGTGTTGATATTAATGGGAGAGAGGAGATGGGGCTTATCCAAGAAAATAAGTTGTCACAGCCACTCACTAACCATAATAGTGCCAATTATGTGCGCAAGTGCACTGTCATTTTGGTTCCCCTCTCACCTCTTCCACTTCATCTCTTCTCTATTGGTCCTTTACCCAAAAGTGATGAACAAATCACAAAACAAGGTTCCTATCTACAAGGGGATTCATCCATTACTTTCCATCCAACCAAACTGTGCGTAGTTAACCAAAAACACCCCAAAAATCCATCACAAAAGGGAAAACCAAAAGCCATGAATTTGCCATTAAAAAAAGAGAGGATGGAAGAATTAATTAATCCCAGTGAATGGGCAAACCTGACAATTTTTTTGGTTTTAAAAAATTAGTTTATGGTGAACAAGTTATGGGTAATAGCAGAAGCTACTCAAGATGGTGCTCTAGTGCTGTTGAGCAATGTGCATTGATGATTGAATAAGAAAACATTAGTGGGTAGCGCCCTATAACACCTGTGCCCTCATCCACCCTACCTTACTCGACACACTTGTTATACGCATAGGAAACATTTGATTTTTATTTCACACGCCCCTTTCCATTACCCATATCCTCTCTTCCGCATTTCTTCAAACACCTTGTCCCCATCCTCACTCTCCTTCATTTCATGCCTTTTTTCTTCACTTATCAATTTTCATTCCCCTCAAACTTTTGACCCAGATCATTTTTTAAACCCATTTGCCTATTTCTAAACACTTCTCATCAGTTTTTTTGGCTTATTCACATGCATTACTTAATTGGTGTCATATTCCTTATATAGCTGTTTTGTCAGTATTGCTGCAACTCAACCCATGCCTTTATGCTACTAACAGTTATATTATGGTGGTTTTACGGCTCCAATCCCAAGGTACTCTTTCTGCCTTTCTTCTCTAGTTTTTTTTTTTTTTTTACTTCTTCTTCGCCTCTCACGTGTTTAGGGATTATAAACTCCTAATCACTCCTTCTTGATGGGGGATTGAGCTTTTATGTATAAAAATTCATGTGAACTTGCATGCGTGTTTAAAAGCATATTTTTGTGTGCTTGTGAGTTTTCGAGCTTTTTTTTTTTTCATTATCATTTCTCATTTCTGAATATTGTTATAGCTGTTTCTAATTTTAATATATAGTATAACTTATAGGAACCATTTAATCCAGTAAGTAACCCACATCATGTAAATATGGTCCATTTTTATCTCTCACAAGAGTTAAGAGTTACAGGGAAAATTAATTATAATATCATGTTTGTCATTAAAATTCTATGATAGACAAACCTCTCAAAATTCTAGAGATATTCTTTATTTTAGGTCATTAAATATATTATTTTCTATAATATAATACACCGTTAAATTTTTTTAGAATATGTCATATATTGTATTTCCATGTTTTTATATTTAATAAATATTTTTTTTAATATTTGATTTTATTATTTTTAAAATATTATTTATTTTAGAACTTTTATTTATTATGATTTTGTCTTTAAAATATGTTTTTCAGATTAAAAGAAAATAATATATATAAATTATTATTAATATCTATTCTAAAAAATATGATATTTATAAATGTATTAAAATATAGTCTTATTCAAAAATTAAAATATATAAGAATTGAGCAAAATTCATATTTTTGTCTCATATCGTAGATTATCTTAAATTGTTAACTATGGGTCTATATACAGATAATATAAAATTAATAAGTATTGGTTTTCATGTTTCCAGCTACAGTGACATACATGTAAGATATAATATATATATATATATATATATATATATATATATATATATATATATATATATATATATATAATGTCATGGTATTATAAGTAAAATAAAACATGTTTTGCCCTAAATTATTAAGATTAAGGA